TTGTGATATTGGCTCTTCATTCTCTGAACTTTTGACATTGGACTGGCTTATCGGTCTCTCCTGTTGAAACCCCCCGGGAACGTGACACTTAGGCTTTTACTTAGAAACATATCCTCTCTTCTCTGGTATGATCTATGCTCACGCCTGTATGGCCCTCTACATATAGCTTTCCTTTCACAGCAACTGTGATAATGAGACATTTGTTTTTGGTCCTTTTAAGGAACAACAGAATAGCAGCACATAAAGCTGCCAACATATAACATTTGATTCCAACATGTATTACAAAGGGCATCATTATTGTAGGAAGACAATATGATACTTTATGACAGTAATTAACATACAGAGTAATTGCTTCTGTCTTTTACAAAGAATCATGTATATACAAATTTTGTATCCTGCTCCACATACAATAGCTGATAGAGGAAGGTCAAAACAGAGGTTCTTATTAGTTTACTTATTAAATTCAAGAAAAGGCAGTCCCGAAACCAGCAAAACCAGGGAGCCAGACAGGGGACAGATTGTATTTGTCTTCAGCGTGGAAGGGATTGTCACTCTCGAATTGGCCTTCTCACCCACACTAGACGCTGTTGCAAGACCTCTATTTAGAGATGTTACCATAGTTTCTTGAGACTGAAGGATGTCTACTAGCAAGACAAAGTGGGGATACAACTGGGAGAGGAAGGTGTCATGGTATATTCATTCCATAAAAACTATTTTCTAAAATTAATATTTGCATAGTAGCATTCATAGATCGACCTATAATCACCATATGAGCTTGAATTTAAACAAAATCTTCACATGGAAACATACAGCCCTGATTTTTACCCAGTTCCAGAACAGCATTTTCCACTCATGTTAAGAAAAACTCTACTCTTCAACATTTTGAAGGTGATATCTGTACTACCCAATTATGTTCTTTATGAAAACAACTAAGAGAAAACAAACCAGAGAAATTCCTGGTGGGAAACAATTATCAGCCCAATGATAATTAGACAGACAATGGAGGGGGGCATGAGGAAGAAAGGAAACAACTCACAAATTCTGCACTACACAAAAATAAATAAAATGTACCCCTAAAATACCTTAGAATGGTATTTAAAGAGCACTTGCCTGATAAGAATACAACATGGGTGGACAAGCTGACCTTTTGCTTATACTAATATTAGTAGCTATAATACTAGCTCCCCAACAAAAAAATAAGAAAACATCATGGAAGAAGTGATTTAGGCATCTAACTACAGAGCCAAAGGTTGGGAATTCATTTCCCCACTATTCTTCCTTGACAGCAGCTGGATTATAGGGTCCCTTCCAGTTCTGCAGTTCTAAAATAACACCTCTAGCATATCAGATTTTTACATATATTAAGTAAAACCAACTTTTTGGGGTGAACTATAGAAAATAAGCCAGATATCATTTCTCTGCGGCCCTGCACATCATTGACAGTAGACCAGTATTATGAAGACTACCACACTATATCTCTTCTGGGCATACTTACTCTTTTCCCCCCATTGCTCCTTCACTCCTCCAAAGAGTTTGGAGTATCAAAAACCCCTCAAAACTGTATCTAGGTTTGAGGCCACTGTCATTGAGGTCCCATTCAATAAAGCGTTCAGATATGGTGGTATTTCTGACTGCTGTTTACTGCATCCATATTCTCAGAGTAGGAAGGTCAAAATAGAGGATCTTATTAGTTTACTTATTAAATTCAAGACAAGGCAGTCCTGAAACCAGCAAAACCAGGGAGCTGGACAGGGGACAGATTGTACTTGTCTTCAGTGTGGAAGGGATTGTCACTCTCGAATTGGCCTTCTCAGCCACACTAGATGATGTTGCAAGACCTCTATTCAGAGCATGTTACCATAGTCTTGAGTCTGAAGGATCTCTACTAGCAAGACAAAGTGGGGATACAACTGGGAGAGTCTACTACTAGCAATGGTCCCTTAGCAGCTGTATGACCTCTGTGTGTTATACGGACCCAATGAATGTAACAGGCATAGCAGATTCAGAGGTGTACAGACAGTGACTTGCCTTCGGATGACATTATCTTTTCTAATCTTCAGTATGCTGTGCCCTTCCAGCATGCATTGAGACTCACCGAACTTCATTAATTAATCTTAACAAACTTACTTGGATCTGGATACTGAAGTGGCCCTAGCATAAGATGACAGGTTACAGAAGCCAAAATTGATATCCAGATTTTTATACAATTTTATTCTTGCAGAATACATCTAAGCATGGCTTTAGAGGAAAGTACCACATCTAACAGTTTGCATAGGGCATTCTTGATCTCTTTGTTTCTCATGCTATAGATGAATGGATTCAGCATGGGAGGAACTGTGGCATATATCATAGCAAATGCTATATCCAGATTGGAAGAGGTATTGGTGACAGGCTTTGCATAGGCAAAAAGTGCACTGAACATAAACAGAGAGACAACAGTCAGGTGGGGAATGCAAGTGGAGAAGGCTTTTTTCTGACCATGCACAGAAGGGATCCTGAGGACAGTAGCAAAGATCTGCACATATGTTCTGATGATGAAGATAAAACATCCTAACCCTACAGCACAGCTTAATACTAAAAGCCCAGCCTCTGCTAAGTAAATATCAGAGCACGAGAGCTTTAATAGCTGTGGTATCTCACAGTAGTACTGATCAACAATGTTAGAACAGAAGGTGATTGCAAATGTACCACAAGTGTGCAATGTGGCATAAGCGAGACTAACAATCCAGCCGATGGCCACCATGTGAAGACAGGCTCTCTTATGCATAATTCTCTCATACTGGAGTGGGTTGCAAATTGCAACATTCCGATCATGGGCCATTATGATTAAGACAATGAAGTCTGATGATAGAAAGAAGAAACAAAAGAAAACCTGAGCAACACATCCAGCAAAGGAAATGGATGTATCATTCATAGCAGAAATGGCTATTGATTTGGGTACTGTGACAGAAATAGCACCAAGGTCTAGCATGGCCAGATTCAAAAGGAAGAAGTACATGGGAGTGTGCAGTCTGTGATCAACAGCAATTGCAAGGATGATGATAAGATTCCCTGCTAGTGCAATCAGATACAACACTAGGAACACAAAGAAGTTTAAGATCTGTAATCCTCGGATGCTTGAGAACTGCAGCAACAGAAAGGTAGATGTGGAAGTACGATTGTTCATGTTGTCTTCAGTACTTGCATATCAGCTGTAGAACAACAAATACAAAACTCTTAATATACTCAGAAAATGAGATGCATTAAATTGCCAATGTTGAATATTCAAGTTAATATAAACGGACTCCCTTTAATTCAGCAAGGACATCTATCAGACATTTCTTTGCTAAATCATTGGGGTCAAATAATTATTTGTCATAGTACTGGTGTTCTGGTCTCATGTACCTGTAGTGCCTTCCTTTTCTCAGTATTCGGCTTTCTCATCCTACTCTAGGCACCTGTCTCACACTTGGACAGCCCATCCAGACCCAGAATTTGATTGCCTAAAATCCCCAGTGGTTTCATGTATGGGTGCAATACATGAAATATGTAGATAGTGAATGCATAAGACACATGCGCATATAATGAAATAAGATTCTTTTCATCAATCCTGTGCATACTCCTTGCAATGCTGGAAATGGGATTATATTTTCATATAATCTCCATCCAGTCCAGATCCCAGATAATTCAGACTGTCTGAACAGCTGGAGACTAGGTGCTTACATTTGGCTTTAATGAGTCCCCTCGCTGACATTCTTCTCAGATACTCCCTCTGTATAAACACTAAATTTTTGTGTATGCAGAAAACTAGAACAATCCTGGTGTAAGAGATTCAAATGGAGATATGACTGAAAGTGAATATAGATCTTGTCTCCTTCACTCAACCGTGTGTGTATGTAAAAATGGTGGATTGTTATAACATGAAGAATTAAAAAACAGAATGAAAAATAAACTTTTTGTAAATGAAAAAGTAAAATTGGTGAATTGCAATGAGGTACAAACATGGAGGAAACTAGCATCATTGAACTCTATGCTGTTTCACACAGAAAACAATTTCTTCAGCATTTAAAGTCTCAAAACCCAATTTCATTAAAAGAGAAGTTTTTTAAAACAAAAAGGAGATATACTAGTGATTAAGCAGATTAAGTTGCAAAATATTTAATCAATGTAATCAATAAGTAAATGATTGAGTTCACACATTGAGAAGTTTCTGTTCATGCTAACATAAGTTCTTAATTGTGGAATTTATATAATACAAAACAAGTTGGATTTGTGTTTCCAGGAAATGTCTTTCTACTCTAGTTAAAATATTACTATAGTTTGGTAGCACTAGCAATCATTGATCAAATAAATGTTATATTGGATGGGTGAGCTTACACAAGATTACTTTCATTATAAATGTTCATATTAATGTGAAATTACACAAGATCTTGCCTATGCTCACTCTTACATTCTCACATGCACAAATACACAAGCCAACTGAATTGATAGTTATTTGCATAGGATTTACACATAATATCATTATTAGGTCATAATAATATACATGCACAATTCATTTAGCAAATAGCATGCCAAGTGGCTGCTGCAAATTTAATTTGAACAATGTAACAAGTTCTTCCTCAGCATCATGATGTTCGAAATATATATATGAGCATTTGAAAATATTTTAGCAAAGACGTGAACAAGTCACAACAAATACTGTATATTAAATTCTTTTTTTATTGTACTGAAGTCAATAGATTTTTGGCAGCAAAATGTTCTTCCCAAAACCCAGATTATAAATAAAAAGAGATAGATAGGCCAATAGCAAAAATTAAGAGAAAAGAAGAGAAGAGAAGCTGGACAGATGATAAGAATGTTAAAGTTCTAATATGCCCAATTTCATAAAACTTACCCAAACACCATTAAATGGTTTTAAATAACCACTTGCATTTTCATGCATTTTGCTCCAATTTCCCAAAAAGTAATCTAGTGTAAGGTCACCCAAACACCCTTTAAATCTTCATCTTGAGATTACTACAGGATGCCTGCCTTGTTTCTTTTCTGTTCCTTTTAATGGCTCTTCCCTCAACTCCTGAGATTCCCAGAGGCTTCCCTGGGCAAAGAGGAGCCAAAGGGAGCCTCAGAACTTACAATGGACAGATAGGAAGCTTTTCATTAGTGTAAATTCAACTCTTCCATTGCCTGATCTGGATTAATCAGGGTGCAAAGTGACATCATTATCTCATGTGAGCCTCCCCAGTTTTTAAGAGCTTCTGGGGAAGCCCTTCTTGTGCATCCACCATTTTCACAGGCTTATTAGGCAAGGACATGTCATTGAGAACAATGATCAAGACAAGCAATCAGTCTATTACAGTATATATATAATATATATAATATAGGTACTCTTAGATTAGGCATCCTTCAGTCTTGAGAGACTATGGTATTGTGCTCTGTATGGAGGACTTGGAACCTGCTGAACAAGTGTCTCTTCAAATTGGGAGAGGCCATGATGCACCGCCTGCCTCCAGGCTGAACGCTCAGATGTCAAAGTTTCCTGTATGTTGAGGTGCATTCTTAAGGCCTTCAGATCCCGCTTGCAGATATCCTTGTATCGCAGCTGTGGTCACCCTCTGGGGAGGCCACAGCTGTGATTCTACCATACAGGACATCTTTTGGAATCCGAACATGAGCCATTTTCACGACATACCCAAGCCAATGTAGACATCGCTGTTTCAGTAATGAATACATGCTAAAAATTCCAGCACGTTCTACGACTACTCTATTTGGAACGTTGTCCTGCCAGGTGATACCAAAAATGAGTTAGAGGCAACGCATATGGAAGGTGTTCAGCTTCCTCTCCTGCCGTGCACAAAGGGTCCAGGACTCACTGCAGTACAGGAGTGTGCTCAGGACACAGGCTCTATAGACCTGGATCTTGGTATATGCCATCAGCTTTTTGTTAAGCCATACTCTCTTTGTGAGTCTAGAGAACATGATAGCTGCTTTGCCAGGGCATATGTATTTATTAATTTATCGATTAACTATTTAATTCTGTTGTAAAGAATATCTACTGAATTAATTATTCAATTAATTAATTACCCAATTAATTTCCTGCTTGATTAGATCAACAATTATTCGTTATAATAAATTAGCTATTGCTTAATCAAATTGATTTTACTGCCCAATATATTTTATTTAATAATTATTTCAGTAATCAATTGATTATTAATTTAATAAAGGTACCACTTAGTTTAGTATTAATTCTTTATTATTCTTAATATTATTTTTGTGCTTCTCCCCCTTTTTAAACTATTATTTTATTTATCTATTTTATTACTTTTATTATTTTTGTTATTATTTGCTGTAATTATCCAACTTTCTAATTTGCTTTCAACTTCCTCATTTTCTAATTTGATTTAATTTTACGTTTTTCTTTTAATTTATTTTTTTTTACTGTTGCACACTTGGTTAGGAGGTTGTCCGGTCCCGCAGCCAAGTTGTTTGCAACTGTTAGCACTTAAACGCAAGGGGGGGTAGGCGCTCTCTTAAGTGTAAAACACAAAGCGGATTCCCAAGCCTTGCCAAAGAAACTCCTCCAAAAAGGTAGGTAACAAATCCTTAAAGCAACTGAAATTATCATAGAGCCAAAAGAAATTAAATTATAGCCTCCCGCTAATGTAAAACACAGCAGCACTCAGTTAATTTTTTGCTTGTGGCTCACCCGACTATTGTCCTCAATCCTACCCCGTCTTCCACTAGGTAATTTTTTTGTACTAAACTCGTCTCTGACCTTTCCTGCTGTTTGCTTCTGTTTCCCTTTTATTAATATTTTGTTATATATATATATAAAACTTTCACGCTGCTGCGCGGCGGGCATGAAGCCATTCCGTCACTTCCCCCCCTTGCCCGCTCAAACTTCTTAACAAAATTTAAGTGAAGAAATTATACAATTAATAAAGTAACTCAATGAAATTAATAAAGCAACTATCAAACTTAGACCCTGGGAGGAAGCCGATGCTGCCCTCCCATCCGTGGAGTTGGAAGTGTAAATGACGCAGTTGAAACAATCGCCACAACACAGCCCAGTCTCCATCCCGTTTGGTGCCCAAAAAAGAAGAGGGTGGTGCAAGAGGGGAAAGTAACCTGGCTTTCCACCCCTCCCACCTGCAAGTCACATGATACTGGATGGTCTTGCATTATCTGGAATGGAGGGCAAAGAGCCAGCCTCTCTGTTTGAAGACCCCTGAGCTCTCATTGGCTGCAGCATTCTGATAGTCAAGGGAGAAACTGTCTGGCCAAGACAATGGACAGAGACATTCTACAAAGTGATCACTGAAACTGTGGGACTTAAATTTGTCATGGCTAACTTATGGCCTCATTTTCCCCCCCCCAATAGGCCCACTAAAAAAACTAAACTAGTTCCAACCCAATAGTTGCGCATGGTCTAGAACTCCTCGCTGGATTGCAGGGCAATTCATTTACTTAGCACCACCATCAGTTTGCAAGAGAACTTTATACAGTGTAACTTTATACTGATGCACATACTATCTAGAATTCAACAGTGGAGGTAGTGGGAGGAGAGAAAGACAGAGAAAAAGTAAAACATGTCCTATCAGCAAGAGGTTAGATTGATGGATAGGAGGGATAAGATATTTTTGCAGCAGCATGTTGACTGTGAAAAACCAATGGAATTCTGGTTGACTGTATACCTACTGTACTTGCTGCCATTCACAGTTGTCAAAAAAGCAGTCCTAACAATTGTTTTGTGTTTGGGCGAGAAGTGGCTAAGCGATAGGGAAAAAAAGGAGTCAGCTTCTGGGATTTTCCTTTGTATGATGTCACTTTGTGAGTGGTAGTGAGTAGAACAGGGTATCCTGTAGACCAGTGGTCCCCAACCTTGGGCCTCCAGATGTTCTTGGACTTCAGCTCCCAGAAATCCTGGCCAGCAGAAGTGGTGGTGAAGGCTTCTGCGAGTTGTAGTCCACGAATATCTGGAGGCCCAAGGTTGGGGACCGCTGCTGTAGACCATCTTGATTACTGACGTTGCTGTTGTCAACATTCTGTCCAATTATTACATTTAAAGGACTCCTACATTTTAAATAATCACATTTCAATAAAGAAAGAAAGAGCAAATATAGTATAAATAATGTATAGCTTATTGCTGCAAATTAAATAGCATCATCAACTAAAATACATCACATCCTGGGCCATTATCTGAAGGTTCAGTCTAACTGTTAGTTCCAACTAAAGTAGATCCATTAATCAAATGGACTTAAACAATTGTTGGATTAATGTGACAAAATCATCTACTTAGTGGGTCTACTCTATTTGAGACTAAAAGGTTGGCCACAAAATTATACATTCTAACATGCTAATCCAAATGTGTCCATCTTACTGCATGAATGATAACTTGCTGAATAAAGACTTCTCATAAATATTTTGTCGTTTAATATTTTTTCTGTTTTTTTACAAAATATGAATATATGTTCAAGATATTAGTATTTTACAAAGGTAAGGCTTAAGATCTGATGGACCTCTTGGGTGTTTTTGAGTTCTTACATTGTTTTCTTGAATCTCACATAATTATGTTTACAACAAGCAATTCATACTTTGAGAATACAATTCATACTTTGTTTTATTCCCTTTGAGATTAATTAAGATACACTAACTTCATTCCTACTTCAGCGCTGACATAGACTCATTAAAGCACCTTGTATCTCCACACCTTCCTTGGAACTCTCTTGACTAAAAATGTTCTTCTAAGGATTGTTGAGAAAGATAATGTCTCTTTAATGCAAACAATTGTCTTCAAGGTGTTTCACAGCCAATGATAACAGAATTTGTTTTTCAAGCTAAGTGTTTACAGATCTGGTCAATGAATGGATGGGAGAACTTAATGTGTCCTGCTTTGAGTTCCACCATAGGTGTGCAGCAAGATAGAAAAAGGAAAATAAAATTATTGTATGCAAAGAAGGTGCATCTATAGCCCATTGGTAGAACTCTGCTTTGGATGCACCAGGACTTCTGGGCAAGCCCAGGAAACTCTGGAGAGACTCTGAGAGTCAGTGAAAACAATGTTTAGTTCCCAGATGAATAGATCAGAGGAGGGGAAAACTCTAGTCTACGAGTTTACTGGAGACCTCAGACGGCCCCAATCCAGATCAGAAAGCACCCAAGAGTTAACTGCACTTGCCCACTATGCCCTTAAGGCTCTGTCTCATAGAATAGGACAGATTCTTGCATAGAATGAGAAGATTCCTCCAGGTGCTGCTAGTTGGAAACAGCAGAATCCTGTTGAATGCTGATTGAGTCTGATATTCCATTGAAAGACTTATGCATGATCTCCAACTTGCCATTGTGCAAGCAGAAATCATGCCATTGCAATGATTGGGGCTGCCCATTGCACAAGGATGTATCGGATACCGCCTTGGCTAAGGTGGGGAAATATTGAGCTGCTTACACAATGAATTGTTCAATTACACAGGATGGTTGTTTGTTAGAGGAAAAGGCGGCGACTTTATTGGTTACAGCAGTAGTCCCTGGCCTAGTATTGGGAATTCTGTCCATTGCATCATGAGACTTACTTGCCTCCCCAATACTTGCCACCATCCATTTAAGCAGCCACTGAAGTTTCTTCCACATTTCTGGAAGCACAACTGGCTATTTTAAGAAAAATGCATTGATTAACATTCAAACATTTAAAAAATGTTGTCAAATGCCAATGGTATGACACCCTGCTGTAGCTGATGTCATTAAACCATACAAAACAAGACATAGATCTTAGTAGGTTAGCTAAATTGACCTTACATCCCATTGAAATCAATTCTACCTGTTCATCATGGCTTGAAAATTCAATTTTGTTGGAAACTAAACATAACTAACAGTTTGAATGCACTTCAGTATTTTACTTGGAAAAAAACATTTTTGAAGACTTGGTCCAATATCAAGTTCCCCAGGCAAAAATAAAAGAATTTTTTAAAAAAAACAAATACAAAAATCTTGCAGCACATTAAAGA